ATAAACTTCAAAGATAAATCTTCTGGTTACTAAATCAATTGGCAAAGAACATTACTCTTTGCAAGAAAATTTGTAAAATTGGGTATTTTTTCTTTCGATATTCTGACGTTTTGCATGTTTCTTAATAAAATATGTCACAATTAATGAATTTAGGGGTGACCATTCAATAATTATATCACTAGAGCCTTAACTGAAAAGACTATATTGCCTTGAACTTGGCTTTGTAGTCCTTAACTGTATCAGGATCCTACTCTTGACATTAGGACCTAACACGTCTCTGTAAAAGTGCTGAAGAAAACAATGTTTTCTTAAAACGTATTTCTATTAGAAATTATGATATTTAATATTCGGCAATTTATTAATTTTAAGATATAAGCCGAATTACACGTTGTTCTAGGCAACGGTCACACAAACTACAACCACAGTGATTGACTGTTTTGACTAGACTGCTTTACCCGGGAATATTATTTGTAAATCATGCCTCTTCTATTACCTTAAGGGCTAACAATTTCTGTGCAACAAAACAATTCTACAAAATACTTCACAGCTGGACATACACAAATATGGACCAACACTATAATAAATATCTTTAAAACAATTTAGCTTACCAACTGCAATATCTGGGACACATGTAACAACAATTTATTAAAACGGCGATTTAAAATACAAAAGAACTTTTAATTTTCTACGATAGTTCCAGAGCCTTCAGTTGAAGTCTCAGTAATCAGGAACCGCTACTGGGAATATCCTACAAGGAGGCTCTTTTATGGACCCGATGAAGAGGATTGTGGAAACCACCCTGTGTATCTCCTCGAGAATACCTTTATAACTTCTACATAATTTATTGTTATTTAACTAATATTTAATAATTATTAAATAATCAATTTTGTACAAGATTGCAACTTAAAACCAATTCGCGACATAAACAAACTTTTTCGTACAGCGTGTTATTTAAATAATTAATTAAAATTTGGAAAAATGTGAATTTATACGAAGCGTGACAATGTTATTAAAGTTATAATAAAATAATTCGAAAATCCGGAAGAGGCAGGTACGATTCATACCTACAACAACGGTTCTAAAACAAAACAAGGCTTAGGATGTGGAATATACTTCACATCTTTAAACCTAAACATAAAATGGGCTGTAAGAAGTAATGCCTGTGTAGTTCAAACCGAGCTCACGGAGATTCTCATAGCAGCAAAAGAAATCACCAGAAATAATATCACTAGAAGGAACATGCCTATCTATACAGATAGCAGACATACTGTACTCCCCCTGGACAGACCACGAATTTACTTAGGGTTGGTACTAGAATGTCAAAAAACTTTGGCCGAAGTATCCATCAATAATGTGGTCAACTTAAGATGGATCAAAGGTCACTTCACATTGAAAGGTAACCGTCTTGCTGATTCACTAGCCAAGCTACATCGGTAGAGACAAGCCTAATTAATGAACATTCCCTTGTGAAGTTCAAGGAAATATTGGATGAAACAAAAAGCTGCAGGGAGCTTTCATGTTATTCTGACAACACTACAGCAAACAAATACTTAACTATGAATAGATGCCTGATCACAGGCATTCTGACGGGTCACTGCCAAGTAGGGAAGCATATCCATGTCATGGGGCTGGCAGAATCCGCACTCTGCAAGGGGTGCAAACAAAATGATGATATCATCGAGCATATAGTCCATATAAGAAAGGCATCTCTTGGCAATGTTCTCTCAACTACATTAAATCTGTAGGCTGGCTCACGAGCTAGGAGATGCCGATCTATTTAGTAGGATGCAAAATGGGTTTAGTAAGGCCTAAGTGCCGTGGGTTAACCCACCCTCCACACTTTACAGATATAGATGTTAAACTTAACGAAACTGTTGCAATTGAAACATATGCTTCTCTTACAAAGAATACAGTTGTTGAATGTAGTTTATTCATCTGTTTGGAAAAAGGTTATCGTTTCTTAGGAACTTCACCGGATGTATTGGTAGATGATACTAAAATTTTTTAAGTAAAGTGTTTTTACTCTGCTTGAGAATTTGCACTATTAAATGCACCAAAACATGTTAAATACTTTTGTTCTACTTTGAGTTCTAATGGCAAAAAACTGTCCCTTAGGAAAACCATAACCATTTTTACTAAATGTTTAGTAATGATTTATTTTTTTTGTAGGATGAATAAGAATTTTTAAAAGGTATATTTAATAAATTTATTTATAATAGAAATAGTTTATTTTTTTTTTGGGTAAAAAAAATATCAAATACCTACTTAGGTACTATTATGGATTTTAAGCCAATCAGATTGTTACGAATTTATATTTTTCAACCCTCTTAAATCCCTTCCTATGATCCAATTTCTACAAAAAACTAATCAACATGCAATTAATATGATACTGATATATGGTGAACATCTGTTCAAATTTTTTAATTGATAAAACACATGCATCATTCAGAATGCACCTTTCATTTAATAATTAAATAATTCAAATATTCTGTAAAATGAATAGGTATGCATCGACCGAATTATTAATAGACAAATATTTATTTAATCCAGCGAACTTAGTAATACAACTGCACCTGGCAACAAGGTACTGTTGGTGTATGAGGACATCCGAAATTTCTGTTTGAGTAGGAAATTTAGTGCTCTTTGTGAACAATTTTAGAAAGTACTGATTGAGATGGCAGCACCTCTCGGAGATAAGGCTTTGAAATAGGAAATTCAAAATAGTGTTGTTTAATTAAATTTTTCACTAAATTTATAAAAAAACTTATTAATGTTTCGAGGTCAATGTCTTCAAATATAATTATTGAAGGTATATTCTATAATATTACATTCATTTTTATAGTTAAAATCTAATTTTTGTGAATAAAACATATATATTCTTCAATTACGTAATTTCTGCAAGTTCAAAAATTTTCAAAAAATGTATGTAAGTTTCTAAACCAAAACCAAAACTAACTTGTACAAGGTACAAAGGTGATAGAGTGGGTGCTATGAACTAACATGGGGTAAAACACAATAAGCCAATAGGCTTCAGTGTTATTCGGAGACACATAGTCAGACGAGCCCAGGAAAAAAAAAACCAAAACTAATTTATTTTATGAAATAATGATCTCTCTTGATATTCTAGTTTCTTTGTTTTATACTTGTAAAAAAGTAAATTTTCCGATTTTTCTTGAGAACAAATGATACAAACTGGATCAAATTTTGGTAAAACAATACTTAAGGTTGTATATACATTCACAAATTTTTTTAGAAATTTTGAACGTGTAGATACTTTTTCCGGGGGTCCATATAAACCTTAATAAAAATGTCGCTATAGCCTGAACTTTGGAAAAAAAATTTAAAATATTTTCTCAAAATGGCGATTTAAAAAAAAGTTTTTTCAGTCTCTTTTTTTGACCTTCAAAATTTTTTAAAAAATAGTAATTTTTGTAATTCCAAAGTCCCAGATATTGAGGGATATACAAAGAACATTTAGAACTTGATATATCAAGTCACCAAGTCGAAAAAAGTAGTTTCGAGAAAATTGCATTTAAAGTTTCAGGCAGCATAACTCATAATAGTACCAGTTTCGTTGGCACGTCACAAAAACATCTGTAACTCTTAAAATAATCCTATTTCAAAAAATCCCATTAGGCTCATATTCTTAAAGATCAAAGATTTAAAAATATGAAAGAAAAAAAAATGATTTTTTTCATATTTTTAGACCAGAATACATCAATGGGCCAACAGTGGCTTGATAATTTGGCAATCATATCTATGTTATGTTGGGAATGGGGTGTTAATACACTGTGACCTAAAAGATCTATTGTGCCCCCTTATGTCACTAATGCAGTAAGGAAATGTCTCAATGCCTATAACGACCCTTCCAATCCTATCTTCTCCCGGAAGTGTAGGAATCATATTGATAGAAAGTAATTTGTTGGATAATATAAATATGACTAATCTTATTTCTGAATTTTCCAAAAAGAAAGCACGTAAAGCTGTTTTTATTTAAGATTTAACTTTATTTCTTGTTCAAAAAATTGTTTTATTTTTTTGATAATAAAATGTATATTTGTGTGCTTCAGTTATATTATTTAATTAGTGATTAAAATGTTGAACGTACATCATACTTATAAAATATATACAGGGTGTTAAAAAAAAAGTGTCACAAAATGAAATGGTGAATAGTATGACCCAAAATAAGCAGAAAAGTCTTTATAAATATATGACCGCAAATTAACGGTTTCGGAGATACGGACCATTTTGTGTTTATAACAATATTTTATTATTATAAAAAAACAATGATATTTATAAACAATCAATAACAACATAGAGTTAAATGAGATGTTCAAAGTGCCCTCCCTCCATTTCAATGCATTGCTATTTGCACGACCGTACATAAAATGCATGTCAGCTAATTCAATATTAGTGTAAACAGGCATAACGAAAATTTATAAAATTATTCACCCACAACAAAATAATAACTGCAAATAGTATCTATGAAAAAACATCGGTAGACTCCGATAAGAAAAGCAAGTTTTTGAGAATGAAAAAAGATAATCAAAAAATGATACAAAACACTCCGTATCTCTGAAACCATTCATACACCCTGTATATGCGCTAATTTTGCAAAAGGTACTGTGATCAAATTTGCAGGATGGCGTTCAAGTAGGATGCAACAGCCCTGACTGAAACAGTAAAGAACTAGGTAATACTATCAGGACAAACTAAATAGACTGTAAAAAACATAATTTCAAAGTGTAAAGTAAGTATTGCTGCAAAGAATATAATTGGCATGTTGATTTTTTTTGTGTAATGCCACTAAGGGTGCTTTTTCATGGGTATTATAAATAGTATTAATAACATTTATTTTACTCGTTACTAATTATCCATTCTACGAATGTAAAAATATTCGTCAAACTAGTCACATATAATACTTGTTCAAGAAAGAATGTAAAATAGCAGAGAGTAAAATAAATATGTATTAAAAATCAGGTTACTTTTTAATATGTTACCTCTCCATCAAGTTCAAGGACCAGTCTTAATACACCGTGGGCAGCAGGATGCTGAGGTCCAAAATTTAAGGTAATATTTTTAACAGCTCTCTCTACAGGGGCTTTCTTAGCACTCCATGGTTGCATAGCCCAATTTTTCATACTTTCATCTGGATACATAACTGGACCTTTAAACTGGCTGACCCATTCCGCATCCGGAAACCATTTGTGATTTGATACTTGGCTAAAAGATTGAAAATATATTTAAAAAATATGTTTTATCTCATGTAACCTATATTAAATTACATAACAACAAAAGTAAAAAAAAAACTTTGAAATTCAATTTATTCTGTTTTTACTTGCATACCTTGTGTGTAACAAGGCAGCCCCATTTTTCAAAAATACTTTTGATGGTAATAATTCTACCGATTTTTTTAAAACCGTATTTATCATCGCTGCCATCACTAATAATATATTTTTATTTTAAAAGTCAGTAATCACTAATCAGTGTAACCAATCCAACAATAATACTTCCTCAGGGAATTTTCAATCTCTTTTGTTGGTATTAGGGTATTTGTATCTATCGTTACCGCGATTATAATATAGAGGTGAGTGAGGATTTAAATATTTTTGACAAACAAACAATAAAAAAAATCAAATTTACTCTTCCGTTATATTGGTAAAGGCGGTTCATTGCCACTTGAAGTTATAAATTTCAAATTTTTTACCATATACGGGGATGTCAAAAAATATGAATTAGATGTAAGCACTTATTTTTAAAAATTTGAAAAAAAATATATATAAACATAAGGGAGGTATCATCCCTAATAATAATAATAATAATCCATAATAATTTTTCAATGGTTTAATTAACGATCAAGTATTCTTAATTACAATGTTGCTGTGATATTGCCACTGTCTATTCGCGTACTACCCACTGCGCTGGTCTGCCTTCTCCCGCTCGTCCATCCTGACACGCATGTGTATGGACTTTAAGAATGTGTGGTGGGAAACAGCGGAACACCGCTAACACGGCCATCCTGCAATTGGTGCGTCCTCGCGCCACATATATCTGGAATTACAAAATACGAAAACAGAACTACTGTTACGACTTATGAACATTATCACTATAATGTTCTTTTTAAACGCTAAACGATTAATTACTCTTTAAATTAATGTTGGTGGGATTGCCACCCTAACACTAAACACTAGTGCTACAACACTAAACTCTAGTGTTACTTTATTTTCATAATTTATTCAGGAAAATTTGGTGGGATTGCCACCCTAACACTAAACACTAGTGCTACAACACCAAACACTGGTGCTACAACACCAAACACTGCTGCTACTTTAATATCATGATTTCTTTAATTAAATTTGGTGGGATTGCCACCCTAACATTAAACACTAGTGCTCCAACACCAAACACTGGTGCTACTTTATTATCATGATTTATTCAGGAACATCTGGTGGAATTGCCACCTCAAGTTAACAAAAACAATTTTTTTAATATTGTGGGATTTCCACTCGCCTTTTTTATAATTATTTCGATGACTATAGCAACTGATCTTGAGGGGCTACAGTTATTCGCTGTCGCTTTTTGTGGTATAATACCTCTCGAACAGTGTAAAGGCCCTTTTCATTTGAACCCCAGTTTTCTTCCACCTGCGAACTGTGAATCTTCAATAGCCACAATATCACCTGGCTTATAATCTGGCCCGACGCCTAGTTTCATTGAATCGTTGACCTTGGTTTGGCGGTCCGGAGTTTCTTAACTTGTATTTTTAAAGTGTCTTTTAATTCTTATTGATTAATTTTCAAATCCTTCAATTTTTATTGAAAACATTTTCGGAATGTTGAGCAAGTCTTGATGTAACTCAATCGTGTTGACGTTTTTCTCAACACCTAAACAAGGTCGGCATATGAAATTGCTTCCAATAATAATGTCAAGTCAACATCTTTAGGAATCACATTATTTGGAACGACCTCTAACGTAACAGTGGCAAAATCACAAAGATCGATATTCTAAACATCTTGAGATCCAATTCATAACAAAAGCATATGCATCAGTTGGCCTAATCGTTCCTTTTAATGTTTTTACTACGGAATGTTTAATTATTGAACTGTCAGCATCACTCTCAATAAGGTATTTTAATTGAGTTTGTTCATAGTATAATAACATGGCTATAGGTGTCGAATTCAGATAGCGTCACTTTTTTTTAACACAAATGTTTTCTTAGGCTTTCTTTGTTTATACTAACAATTGGATTAGACGTGACCCATTTTTTTTAATTAAAGCACTATAATACTGTCGGATTTTTTATTAGTAATAACCGCGTTAAATGTACTCGCCTGTTATATTCTCTGACATGGATTTTGTTGGTGTCTCTGGTGGCCTTATTTAAAGGAAGGTACATTTTAAGATTTTGTTTGGCTTGAAACGATCGGCTTCTCGTTTATCTTTAAACTGACTTCTTGGTTTTCTAAGGATCTCTTCATTTTTCTGCAGGTCTCAAGGTCTCAACACTGATTGCATTAAATTCGCTGAGTAATTTTATGAGTTCACGTTCGGAATTAGGATTTTGTATGTGAATGGCAAAACAAGCTTTTGAATTGTCTGAACTCAGAACTGGATTCCACGGCAACCGGCAACGCATCATAAAATCTAATGATGCTACAACATTTTTGATTTTTATAATCACACAGTGAGTTAGAATCACGACTTTGAAGTGTAGCCGCCTTGTATTCACGAGCAGCTGGTATTTTCTTATCAGCGAATGCAACAATTAGGTCATCACAAAAGTATTGTCTCGTCGCCAGTCACAACAATAACAACCGCGATTCTTTAGGTGCGCCGCTCATTTAGCGATTATGAAGTTATCGCGAACGCTGAGTTCTTCTTTTATTTTGGTTGCCATTCTTCTATGGAATATGCGCTGTCGTCAGGGTCATGTTACAATGTTGCTGTGATATAGACCTTTTCATCATAATTTTTTTTCGTGCGCATGCGACAGTATCAGCCATCTTTTTCGTACTGTTTTTGTAAACAAGCATATTAAAATGCCCACGTGAAAAAAATTATAATCGATAAATATTAATTTAAGTATATTCATTTACAAAAAAAAAAATAAGAAAAAGCAAAGTAATAATAATTTTAGTGTCTTAATTGAAAAATATATTTTTGCAATCAATTATAATAATTATGTTATCTGTACGGAAAGGAACCACGAAACGGTGTTGTTATGGAGTATGTAAAATTGACACACGGTATAAATCATTCAAAGGCAATACATACAATACATATTATTTTATAAATATTCCAAAGCCTTGGCTGCAATATCGTAAAAAATTATCAATTTATCAAGCAAATGTGCATTAGGTGCGAAAAAATGTGGTCGAAGACCGAAGTGACAACGGTTTTCGATGGATTGATGATGTTACTGAATATACTTATATTTGTTAATTACATTTTCATGGAGAAAGTGGTCCAACAGAAGAAAATTATTATCTGGTATTAAACAATATTTTTTTAATATTAAATTCTACTTCGCTATAATATGATTAAAAATGTCATGTGGATCCTCAAAATATTAAATACCTAATATATTTTATTAATTATACTCGTGAATAACGTTCATGTTAATTAAAGTGTTTTTGCAAGTACTAACCCAGACAGCACACCAAATCCTTTGGATATCTACTGAACATCCCAATATCCACTGAATGTCCAGTCCATGGTAGATATCTATTTTATATCCATGAAATGTAATTTATAGACATGCAAATGTCCATAAATAATAGTAATTATATAGCAAATTATTAAAAAATTACGCCATTGTGCTCGCCATTGTGGCTAATAGTACCGTTCAGATATTTAAAATTAATTTTTTTAAGGTGTATTCAATATCCCATGAACATCCACTAAATATATCAAAGTCTAGGCGCGAACGCAAACCATCGTGGATATACACTAGATGTTATTTGATTCTGCTTACTAAGTATAGATGGCGATACCACTATCGCATCTACTCATGCTCAACCCGCCGTAATTGAGTTCGATCGAAATGTGTGTCCTAATCACTCCATTAGAGACTGGAGTCGAGAATTTTCATTTATTGCTGAAGAGTCCTAATAAGGATGACTTTCTCCTTAGTGGGCAAAATCAAAGGCAGAGTGTTGAAAATATTTTGAGTGTTGAAAATATTTTTTATCTCTGCTATTTTCTTTCGACGTTATTCAATAATCATTGGTTACTTATGAACCTCTACTAAAGATACCCATAAAATATTTTGCTGAATATCCGAATATCTTCTATATCCTGGGATATAGACGGACATTTGGTTGGATATCCATATTGGATATATTGAATATCCACAAAATATATTCTGTGGATATCTCTGTGATTTCTTGTATTTTCTGGAAGATACCCATTAGATATTTTGCTGAATATCCATTAGGATATCTTCTATATCCTGGATATAGACGGACATTTGGATATCCATATTAGATCCACGGAATATTTCTGATATCCTGTGGATATATTGGATATCAACAAAAGATATTCTGCGGATATCTCTGGGATTTGGTGTGTTGTCTGGGTATATCATTTTTTATCCATTGTTTTCGATTTAGTGAACCAAGATTTTTAATTGATTGCGAGATTTGATGTTACTAAAAATAAAAAAGTAGAGATGATTTGCTGAAACCGTCTCAGGAGTTGATAAAAGTGTGTTTATATTATGAAAAAAATAGATTTCTCTTGAATCTAAATAATAAGTAGCCAGCTGAAATTTTTTTGTTTAATTAATAGAACATATAAGTAAACTAATATCGGTAGTGCCTATTCAAACATTAATTATATTCTGTTGCAAATAGAGTTATTCCGATGTCAATATTAATTATTTTGTTTTAAAAGTACATATTTGCAAAACCGGACCTGTTCAAGGTGTAATGCTCGAATTCTGTGGCCAACTTTTGAATAGGCCTAGCGTTACATTATAACTGTTATAGTTTACTGAGGAACGGTATTTTTGATTTTTAGATGTTTCTGGTATTGTGACAAGTGACAAAAGCATGTCGCATGTCCTTGGTCCTAATTGTCCTATGATGAAAAAAAATGTTAAATCTGACAGTAGTAAAAGGTGGTAAAAATATCTGTCGATTTTTACAGATTTTGTTGGTTTTCTCGCGAATTTATTGAGATTTATTGTCAATTGAGAATTGCGACAATATCGGACAATAGACAATAGTATTAATAGTGTTAAAAACGAGTTTGTGATAAAAATGTAAGTGATTTAAAAATTATCAAAATGTATTCTATAAAATAGTTACAAATTTTGTAGGTTAAAGACTCTTGTTTGTTTCAAGTAGTTTTTTAGAACAAACAACAAAGAATTTTTTGCCGGTATATATCCCATTCTGCATTAAACTCAATAAAGTAGTTTTATTAATGCACGATATTTTCAATTATTGCTATTCTCGTTCGTATTTCTCATCTTCATACCGCTGTTAATTTTTGTGAATCATGCACAAAATTAATCTTTAGGTATTATTTTTATGTATGTGCTGATTACTGATTAGGGTAATTAGTAACCAACGGATGGATTGTTTTTAAAGCTACAGAAAATAGATGCAGACTCAAACATATGAACAAAAATAAATAAATTGTAAAATTGGAACATGTACAATTTTTACTTTCTTTTCTCGGTTCAATGCATCTCAGTCTTTCTCTAGACTTGAAACCTATCAATGACAATGGCAAATTGAAAGTACATAAATTATATTTTTAATTCCTAAAATGTAATATAAAACTATTGGTAAGTGGCCTTTTTTGAATATGTAATTATTTTAACTGTTTTTAATTGGAGAAGTAGGTCTTTGAAATACAAAATGTAGTTCATGTATCAGTATGCAATATTATTAACATCTGAAATCATATGATTGATTCCTTATGAAGGAGCTAAAATACAATGGTCAAGACAATGGTATAATTTCTGTAAGCTAAAAGAATTAATTTTATCATTTGAAAGGGATGTTTTTTTAATTTGCTTATAAGTTTTTGCAAATTTTTTTATATATACCTAATTTGAATTCACTGAGCTCCATAATAAGGTTGTAGCCTAAAAGAAGTTTATTTCTGCTCTCATTTTTTTAAATATTTGCATACAGTAAAAAAATAATTATGATGTATTGGATTTACCTAATTTGTATCTGATACTACTTAGTTGGTTCAAGGTTTGCAGATACAGGTTTTTTGCACCTAGGTTTTTTAGAAAACCTAAAAGTGAATATTCTGCAATTTTAGGTTTTTAAAGTTAAATATTAAGAATTTACAATTTTACTAATCAACTCTGAGGAGAAAAGGTGCAAAAATGAGTGTAGTACTTAGGTATATAGAAACAAATTCAAACATTTCATCAAATATTATACCTACCATTTCGTGATATTGATATTAATGATAGTTTTTTTTTTGTTATAATATAATTCTATTTTTCAAGTTTTGCTTGTGTTTTATCAATAATGACTTTTGACATATATGAACTAAAAAGAAAAGAAGAAGAAGAAAAATCTATAAAACCTTAAAAACCCTAAATAACCTAAAAACCTACTTATATTTTTTGAATTCTTAAGCTTAATTTATAACCGCCGTAACGTAACTTAAGAACTTAACGTAAGAAGTTGAAATATTGAATTTACGTATACTTATTTATACTGTTCGTAACGTAACTTAAGAACTTAACGTACCGTAGAAAGTTCGCCAACTTTTAACTTAACAACTTAACTTAAGACCTTACGGTTAGCCAATGAGATAATTCTGAGTTCAGCATGTGCTAACTGTCAATTATTCTTTTTATTTTTTTTTATAAATGATTAGACAAATACCATTTGTAAACTATCATTCTCCTTTTTGATGGACATACATTATCATGAATGATTTGTGTTTATGTTATTGGGAATAAACTATTTATGAGATATGAGTGTTGATGCATATACCTATAAATATCAAGTCTAGAACTGAAATAAGACACAAAACTAGTTTGCTAGGAAAGATTAAATTCTCATTATTGCTCAAAAACAATCAACATCTTCGGTAAACTATTGTTTTATTATATTTTTATATTATTGCTTTTAAAGTAGTTAAAATATTCTTTCTATATAGCACAATTATAATTTATAAGTTTTATTTAGAGGTTAGGTACATAGTTTACACTTGTTTATTTCATAAGGTTGTCAGTAATTTAATAATCTCTGAAATCAACACGCATGCTCAACTCTTACGTTACGGACGTTTATAAATATACTTTATTTTTATATGTTAGGTTAAGTTTCTACAGCGTTAAGTTAAGTTACGTTACGGTGGTTATAAATTATACTTTAGGTTTTTCCTATGGGGTTTCCAACCCTGAGTCAGTTAAATTAGGCATTCCAACGACCTGTCCAAATGGCTACCAGTGGGTAATGACAGTTTAGATATGGCAACCCTGTTGTCATGTTGTCACTAACAGGGTCAATGATACATATATAGTTATATAGATTGTTGAAAGCTGGTCGTTTACGAGCGGCCATATTGCCTGGCAAATATTTATTAATTTGAATCGGGTTAGCAAAAATGTGTTTTAAAACCAATTTTTAGCCTTTAGATATTAAAAAAAAAATAATTGCTTACATTTTTACTTCAAGGCATAAGCTTATTTTTATTTTGAAAAATATGGATGATCAATCTATGTAACTATCTATTTCATTGACCTTGTCAAATCACCAGGCCTACAGGGTTGCCATAATTTTGCCATATTTTAACCCATCAGAACCCACTGGTAGCCATTCAGTTTGGAATACCTAATAGGAAAAAGTTTCATATTATGATTGATATTTACAATGACCCTTAAAAGTTTTAGATTTCTTGACTAATTTTTGAGGTATTTGACAAAATTTGAAAAAGTTTATTTTTGTTTTTAACCCTTTAGCTACGCTTATATATTGACAAAAGACTCTGTCTAAACGCAAAACAAAAAATTTTAATTTTTTTTGTAAATGTGAACAGATTTATTCCTTATCTATATGTGATGAGTTTTGTACATAAGAATGAAAAAGTTAGAGGGGGTACACGGAGTTAATAACTACCCTCCTCTTTTATAGCTATCCCCATATATTCGAGAAAAAAAATAATTTTTTAGAAAAATAATGCCATAAATTTTTTGTTCGTCACACATTGGATCATAAAAATGTCCTTATAATAAATACAAATTTTCTTATGAACAGTAGTTTATTTCGTAGGGTTGAAAGTAAAACTATAATTCAGAGAACATATCTATACATATATAGCGATTATAAAAATACACTGTGAAATAACAAAATGATACAATATTGAAAGTGTACTGGATTTTTGCTCTGATGAATACTGCTTTATGTCGGCCGAAACATTAAGAAAAATGATTTTTATTCAATAAAATAGGCTGCGAAAAAATCAGAAATTGTAAAGTTTTATATACAAAGTCCTACTTTACATTCAGCACACCAAGTTGTAACATACTTCCGTTTTCTTACACCACGGTCGGTATTGGAACATACATGGCAAATTCTTTGTCCCTTTTGTCTAGTTCCAGTGGGTGGAACATATGCCTTTCCATGAAATTTACTGCAGCTAAGCGATCAATTACTTCCATGCTTTGTCTCTGGTCTAGCAGCAATCAGAGTTCCATGCCTTTCTAAAATTTGTTGGACAACTTTCCTTATAAATATATTCAGTCGTAGTGAAACTCTTCCTGTTTTTACTAAATACATGTTATATGCATTTAGCATAGCAACATCAACCAGATGGAAAAATAGTTTTTTGTACCACTTGATTGATTTCCGGACACACTCGACGGTAGCTAACTGCATGTCACACTTATCAATCATACGCATGTTTTGCGTATAATCTATTACACAGTCTGGTTTGAAAATATTTTCACCAGTTCGATGATCTATTTTTCCGCTATTTTCCAAGGTTCCTTGGAAACCTGTGTTTCGCTCGTTTAGATAAATGGCTAGTTTGGGGCTAGTATACCAATTATCAGTATACAACAAATGTCCCTTTTGTTCATAGTTTGCCATAAGTTTTTTTATTACCGCACCTGAAACACCTAGGGGATCATTTCGAGGAATGTCAATTTCAGATCTAGTGTATACTAACATATTCAAAACAATTCCGGTTTCACAATCACACAACACAAACGTTTTTATTCCGAATCGATGTCTCTTTGACGGTATATATTGTTTGAACAATATCAAGGATTCATCAATGACAAGTTTTTGAAACGGATGGAAAAATGTTGCACATTTTCTATTCCACTCTTCGCATATGGTTCTTATTTTCCATAATTTATCATTGTTGCCCGGGGGTGGGGGGTTGTTGTTATCAGCGAAATGTATGTAGCGCAATAGCTGCGTGAACCTGTCTCTTGTCATGTACTTGCTGATGAAACTACTAGCAATAATTGGATTTGTTGACCAATAATCCGAAATTTTGTGTTTTTTTATATGTGGCATCGCCAAAATTATTGCTAGAAAACTGTACATTTCATTGATATCAGTTGGCACCCATGGTTTTATTTTTGGAGCAGGATCATTTTCAGCATTGTTTTCATAGTATCTATTAGTTTCATTTACAATTGTTGACATCAAATCCTCATCAAAATAATTTGCAAAGTACGCATACTCGTTATCTTCATCATATACTTCAAATGCGCCAGATATGCCAGAATTTTCAGCGTCAAAATTATAAGTGGAAGGATTGAAAATAACGCAATTTTGGCATCGTAAATCTCCAACAACAGTTTCTTCATCCCCATCACTATTTGAGTCACTTTCTCGTTCGCTACTATCACTCACACTATCAAAGTCACTAAGTTAAAGAATTTCTTCTTTATCACTGTATATATCAATGTCACTCAATTCTGTTCTTGATCGTTTTGAACTGCGAGTACCACAAGATGTTGATGGTAAATCTATTTTTGTAATGCGACTAGCAAAAAATAATTTTTATAATAATACAATGAAAGTACAACTACATTTACTGAATGATTCTACTAAATTAAAATTTTAAGTTTACATACGCAATATAGACCCTAAAAATCTGAAAGGAAAGTAATAAAAATAAATGAGGTAAACAAACGGGTATTTATTGAATTTCATAAACTCAACACATGCTTTTTTTCATCAACATATTCTCAAATAAATAAACAACGAAAGTCCCATTCCCTTGTCTAATGATGACGATAATAAATCTTGAAAAAATAAATAGAAT